TTTTTTTTTTTTTTAATTCAACTGGCCATTGTCGAAACCAGTGGCGTCTGAGTGGTACAAACCACAGACATAGGGACAATGCTAACTCTCGTGCCAGGAAGCGCCTCTATTGGTACCATGTGTCCAATCAAAACATAGTTAACATGGTCTTCATTAGTCAATAACCAAAGGCAAGTGGCTTCAGAGTAAGTGATACTTGGGAGGGTGAGACAGAGGGAGCTGAAGCCAAACACAACTAATGACCGAGGAGACATGCAGAGTGTCTGGCATGACCTGCGCTCAGCTGCAGACGGCTCAGCCGACAGCCGAGCCCTCCAAAAAAAAAAATCGGGACCACTGCTCAAAGCCAGCACAGGGACAGGATAAAGTTAAGTCAAACTGGATATTGATAGAGTATGACCGAATTCATTGAAAACCACGGGGAGACAAGAAGCTAATTTGTTTCAGCCAATCAAGCCGTTTAAGCTACCTGTTTCTCCAAGATGCGAGAAATCTCTCCCAAAGTTCGATCCAGACTGGACACTTTATTGTTGGCCCACTGGCCACTATCTTGGCCCTGCAGTTGCTTCAAAAGGTCCTTCACAAGGCGTTGTAATCTGAAAATATAGTGGACAAAGGCAAACATCGGCGCACTAGTTTAATACATGTTGCAGTCAGCAATTGAAGATTGAGTCATTAATTAATTTGACCTACAGCTACACTGCAAATTATCACAACAAATTATGGGCTTCTGCAAATGAAGTTAATTTTTTTCCCCCGCCTGCAGTTTCAATAAAAGTCATCGGAAAGCAAACAGCGGCAAACAACAGATATAGCCTATTCAAATATTGGACATTTTGCTTTCCACAAAAGGAGGTTTTGCACAACTGTCAAATCAAGTAGAAATAAAGACCTTTTTCCAAAAACTAGCAATTTGGAAAAATGCGATTTACTTTGCGCATAGTGACCTCCTCCTGAGACTAATTGAACAACTCTTTTTCAATTGCCAAAATAATCAGACGTACAAAACAGGAAGCTTCCTAATTTTTGAGTAAAGACAAACATTTAAGATTTAAGAAGAAAAAAAAAGGATTGCACTTACTTAGCTTTGTACGGGGAGTCAGGAACTTGCGTCTTTGCCTCAAACGACGTCTCGTATTGCTTTGCTCTGGAGGGGTACAAGTGAAGAAAAAGTTTTTCAATCCGAGGGGAAAAGTGTTTAGCCTTCCAGTAAAGCAGGCTGTGGAGGAAAGTGTGAAAGGAAATAAAATGTTCAAGCCGAGTCTGTTTATTTGGCCTGTCAGCAGAGCGGCTCAGACACTACTGCTGATCTCAAAGCAGAAGCATTTTGCTGGCAGAGACTAAAATCATGATTAAATCATAATGTTAATTCCCCCTCTCACAGAACTCGAAAGACTCAAATTCCTTCTTTTTAGAAAAAGTAGGTCACGTAGGTGACAATCATTCAGTGTGTTGAAAGTGCGACCAGAAAGTCATGGCCATCAGGGTAGTACTGACCCAACTATATGGCTTTGCCTTGCAACTGTATCAAGCTTGAACAGGCATGATAAGGAACTACTGAATAGAACGCCTCAGGGTTCATCATTGTCACAGATGACAGGCAGACAGGTGGCCGCACCTGAATGGACCTGAAGCAGCAAAAAGTAAGAAAGAAATTTATCACAGCTGAACCATTTATCATTTTTGGATCGAAATTGTCATCTGGGACAATGCAGTTTCATGATTGTCAAAATATTTTTACTCCACACTTCAGTAGCTTACCAGCTCAGATCAATTCATATTTTATACAGGAGTGTCTTTGCAAGAACAATTCTGAGATCGTCTCACAGCCACGCACTTCTAACACACACCGAGCACTCGGTTTGCACTGACCAAACCATAAGCGAAGAATTACAGGCAGTACATTGTAAAATCAGGCTCCTTGCAACATAGAAAAAAATGATGTAACATTCAGATAAAATGACCATGTTTTCCTTCCTAACACACTTATCATTATCATAAAGTTGAGTTGGTTAGGCATAGATCTGAAGAAGAGACATTTTTTAATGTCGTCTTAAAACCATTTACACCCAATGATGAAGCAGCCAACCTTTATGTTTTAAGAGGGTTCTGCGCTTTTTTTTTAATTGCCTTTGGGGGGCCTGCTGCCTTTGAGTGCAAGTCCCAACAGGGCTGGCGAGGGAGTGACAGAGAACAGATACGGATCATGTCACTTTCTCAACACCACTGAGCCTCAACAAAGCCAAGAACAGCAGTATTGAGACTGAATCACCAGGCCAGAAAGGCATGAATGTTTCAGCCTATGGTGTTAAAGCACTCTTTTAAAAGCACGGATGATGATGATGATGATGATGAAACAAGACAACATTGATTAAGAAAACGTTATAGTTGATGCTTTACATATTAAAACTGTACGTCATTTTATAAACATGCCATTTTACCCACACAATCGACAAATTATTTTCTCCTCACACAATGACATATATACAGTGGTCCACCTTCATCGTACTTTTTTTTTTAATACCCCTCTAACACGTTTAAACTTTTGCGCAAAAAAATGATAATACTGATGCTGACACTACCACTATCCCGTGCCTCTAAAACGTAAGGAACAATTGTGGACACCAAAAGTTAAAAATAAAAAATAAATAGTCTGTTTCACTCCTTGTTCTGACAGCCAGTTAAATTAAGGCAGCTCAGGGCCATGTTTTACTGCATAGCAACTGTGCCTCCAATTTGTTTATTAGTATTGATATATTTTTTTTTTTTTTTAATATTTCATTTAAAAAAAAATCAATAGCTGAAAGGAAGAAAAATAGGCAAGGCTAACACATGCTTCAACATGCGTACTATCCAGACAGAGATGCGGCCAATGGCAGGGCAGCAATTTGTTGGAAAGCTCTTTCCAGGTGGAAGGCCAGGCTCAAGAGACCGATTTGCAGTTTTGCCATGCAATCATCGAAGGTGCCCATAAATTAAAGTCATTAGTGTTACACCTTGTGGACAGTCAGGATGCACATAACGTGCTTTTTTTATTTCATTTTATTATTTTTTGATGAACTCACTGAAAAAGATACCAACCTGGAGTTCATCCTGGCACGGAGCTTCTTCGCCTTCTTGCGGGCCTTTTGCCTCTCCTCGTTATCCTTTACACTTTCAGAGGAAACGGAGCTGTCAGTCATGATGTCCACAATGTATTTCTTCAAGGAAAGATGCTCCTAAAACACACACACACACACACACACACACACACACACACACACACACACACACACACACACACACACACAAGTGGAATATTATTCTTCAAAAATTCTTCATTTTTCATCAAACAACTTATATATTGTTAACTAAAATAAATTATCAATTGTTTTTGTTTTCCTTTCAGTTTGCATCAAAGAAATTCGAAGTTAGGTAAACAACACAGCCAACAAGGGTTTGAGTCGTGAAAATTATCCCATTAAACATATGAATGTAAAAGCGACTGTATCCTATAATTACGCCAATAAAAATCCAGCCCCCACCCATGGACATGCTTTTAGGCGAGAGGAGTCGTTTTAACCATTTTTGTACTTCCATCAAGAGATGGTAATTATGTTGATATCCATCACACCACAGGATAGGCCGCACACATAAAAGGGCTTCCATTGAGACGTCAAAACTAAACCTCTGTGTGGGCTGCCATGGCCTTTGGTGACAAGTGCTGGTCCACCTGCAAGCTGAATGGAGGGTTTCACTACAGTGGAACGTAATACAGTTGTCACAGTCAGTCAAAAGGTGTGGGTAAAGCTCATTAATCATTGCTTCTGAAAGATGACTAAATAAAGATTGTTTGGATCAGCCTATGGGAGTAATTGTGAAGTAACATTCAATGTATCAATAAAGGCTTATATTTCAAATATTTTTATGTGATGAGACAGTCTCTTGTGGAACTCCTGTTCTGGGCGAATTTATCGATCCGCATTGATACGGCTTCAAAATTCCAGAGCTCAAATCATGTAATCCCATTTTGCAATCCCTTGTTTCACAAAGTGATTAATCGACATTCAATTCCACACAACCCGATGATGTTGATCTGGATGAAGGTTATTTAAAAAAAAAAAAAGCTGAACGAATAAATTAAAATAAAATGTCCTCTAGAACTAGAATTTGAGGGAACCAAATGTTAATTCCCCAGTCAAACTCATTCTCTAGATTTTCAGTTGACAAGTGTGAAAGCCTAACCCCCACCCCCGTTTCTTCATACAGGTCAGTCATGACCCATAACCATAGATGTCATCTCACTTGCACTCAGTAATTTCTCTGAGAGGCTATCTCATGATCTTGCCACTCACCTAATGGAACCGTTTCAATAATGCAACCAAAACATTTGTCCAAAATACATCATGGTGAAATGTTATACTGTTATAATGAAATGTTATACTGCCACATAAGGAAAATGTTGACAAGCAGCTGTAGATGCTTTAGCAAATACAGATACAGTTATTACAAAAATAAACTCGGTAGCTCGTAGAATGTTTGAGGTAGTCAAATATGGTGACAGACAGGTGTCTGCCACTGAACCATTGTCAGAAAGCAGCAAATACACTGGCCTGAGGGCTGCGGTGCCGCACGATATCGCGTATTGCCTCTGGTGGCAGAAACATGACCCGCCTCTAAACATCCCTCCCTTTCTCTGACATAGAGCTGTCACAGATCTAAAAGGCAGCCCTCACAAATACATATTCTATGGGATATGTTCACCCAGTGCCTCTTTTGTCACTCACAAAAGGCCCAAGCGGGTAGCTTTCCATTTGGCGTTGAGCAAACAGCTGAATTTCATGTCAGCGACTAGACGATAAGTGATACGACAATGGATGGTGTTACAGTCTTCGGTGGTTCGCGTGACATTTTTTTGGATCAAACTACCTCCTTTGGATGACATTTCAGCAAGGACATGTCATAAATACAAATCTGACACCCGTGTTTTAACTGAAACTGTTTCCTTTCTGTAGAAAAGGCAATTTCAGTGCTGGAAAGGTGTCGAGTGTCAGATTTCAAAACAGCATGGGGAGTGAGAGGGGGACTTCAGCTGGCACTCTCGATATTTCAGCAAGGTTCTCAATTTAGGGGGCCATCGAAAGAGCACTGAGCAGACCTCCTGGACTATTCGGGTCCTATGGGAGATCACTTCTTTGCAGCCTTGCCGTCCCTCTGTTGGACAAGCCTGCCAAGAGTTAGTAGTGTATAAAGGTGATCAATAAATATGGCATCTGACTAAAGCAATGTGCCTTTGGAAGCACATTAAACTAGGGCTGGGGAGAAGAGAAAAAAAAATGGGCTACAGGCCTACATTAAACCAAGGTATCACATTAAACCATCCAGGTAATGATTGATAAGACTGATTCATGATTCACTTTTTTTTTCCATAATGGCTTGCTGCTAATCCTTGTATTCTCACTTTAATTCACGAGCCTCAGCAGGGAAAAAAAAAGACTAAATATAAAGACACCAGCCTGTGCAGGAAAACCACTTGGCGACCTCTGCTCAGAGGAGCCAACCGTCTTCATTTTAATTAAAAATCTCTCATTACAGAGAGAGTTATGGAGTCACAGTCTTCAAAATAGCTAGCGGTGAAATGATTGAAATAGTAGAGACCAAAATTAGGTTTGAAATAAATAATCTGAGCAGCCGCTGAAGAGTTCTCTAAACAAAGTCAAGTCTTCAGCAATTCAGTTTAATTAGCTTTCACAAATCGGGAGAGAAAAAAAAATGCAAATCAAAAATGCCATCTATGTCAGTCGTCAATCAGACACACAACCCAAAATATCCTAGAACAAGCCTCCATCATGGATTTAAATATGCATTCAAATGAATGAAGTGTTCATGGATGGATTTTAGCTTAATCCTTCCAAAAGTGCTTCCTCAATAATTTTGCACACACAATTTTTCTTCATGGATAGATTTTTGGATATCCCATTCATAATTCAGTATCATATCACCTGCCCATTTGTCACTTTTCAAATTTCTATTTTCAGCAATGTGGGAAATTAAAAGGATGACGTACACTTTTTGACATATTTGTTTTTTCAGTTTTTACTATTTACATTTTTCCACACATTTTATTTATCCGTTATTGTTGTTATAACTATTCATTCTATTTAATTGTCCTAATAGATAACCTGTGTTAGCACTACAATTGGGAAATGTGTCAATTAAAAAAATTGCTGAGCCACCTTCTCTTTTTGCTCCAGCTTGCGGAGTGAAAGTCCAGTGTTTATATTTGTGCACTTGCTTGGCCATAAACCCACTTCCTCACTTATTGAACTGTCAAACGCAACAAACTGACTTGCGTTAAGATGGAAAATACCCGAGAGGAAGAACGGTGACCATATCAATTATACTCACAAGAGAGCGTGGAAGAAAAGCTTTGAATGAAAGAGCTAGTGGGGCCAAAGGTGCTGCGTATAGCACCAACAGTTGTCAGCCTCACAATGAGCGGCCCTGAAAAACCAATCTCATATTGCAGCCTGAGAGGTTGACTTGCATTGACGGGCTGCCTTCCCATGGAAAGCGCTCAATTGTGACCCTCCAACCCCCAAAAAACAAAACAAAACTATGTGATGAGGTGATGTCAACCATCCACTGGAGCACTGAACCCTGACTGCGTACATTTCAAGGCCCATTTGCAATAGCACAAAGTGAGGGGTTGTTGAATAAACAATAATAACTGTGCTATAAAAGACAGTCATCGGTTTCTTTGTCCTCTTATGCAACCCGAGCGGCATTATGTAGTAGAATAAACGTGCGTGTCATCGACAGGGTGATCCGCACCACTTCCTCGTCGGAGAGCTCCCGTCCCTGGATGCTGCTACTGTCTCGCACGGCCTGTTGGTGCCTCTTGCCCTTGGTGTGGCTGAACAGGTGCACCTCTGAGGAGATCTGCAAACACAAGCACAGTGGTCAGAGGTCACTACCGGCACAATTGAAACAGAGGCAGGAAGGGGTCATCAGAGTCCCACGGGATACTGGTGAAATGATACACCTCTTGGTTGTTTTTGTGCCAATAGGACATGACCTACCCCTGCTGAACCGCTCAGGTAAAACCAGAGCAATGTACTTAGGTTTGTTCCACAAGTCAACTGACGTATACCACGGCTAAAGGATGTCAGTTACATTTGTATGTATTTTACCGTTAATTAAATATATACAGTATGCAGTAAGTAAACGTGCAATTACAATTGTTTTTACAATGCAATTTTCATGTCTTCTAACGTCTCGCACTTCCGAAAGAGATTTTCGGGAGTGAGGGGTTGGTAATAAGACACTTACAATTAAGTCCAAACCATTATTCTTGAATTATTTTTGTTTGTTTTAAATGGAAAACCGAGAAAGTGTGTGCCATGGATTTATAATATTCAACGGAGTATGTGTACTGAGCAAGTGTGTAAATAATAACATAACATGGACATTTCAGTCAAAATGTAAAATATCTCACCTTCTTTTAATACTGGCAAATTACGGACTAACTGCAAAAATAGTGTAGGCTTGACACCGTGGAGACCTTTCACCACGGACTAGGAAATGGTTTATAATTCTTTGTGTCAAAGGTCATTAAATGAAGCGCTTCTTCCTGTGGACCCCTTCCTGATCCCTTGTGTTAGATCTTACACCAAGGTCATTCATCAGTTCAACAAAATTCACTGAGCGGTTGATGCTCGTTTCACGTCAGGGTGCGCCACCCTTGTTTCCATGTGAACCAGGTTTTCACAAATAACTGCCTGTATGAAACGACATTGATTTCAGTCTAATTTCAGATTTTCTTTTGTAACTATTCCATTTACATTTTGGCAGTGTTAAAAACTTGGGCTGTAAGCAGTCCTTTTGTAATTACTTTATTTGACACAAGAGGGAGATAAAAGTTCTACAATGTATTAAGTTTAACACACTGAAAATAAAGCAGCGGGCTCCCTCACTATTTGGAGTTTCTTATATGTCCATATGGAATACCATACCGAGCACATGAGAATCTCCCGCTTAACGAGATGTACGTACCACAACAGCGCAGAGTGAGCACTGTTTCTTGCGCTCGTATGGCGTTAGTTTGGGGGCGTAGTCCGTGTTCGCGTGTCGGCCGCTGCTGAGCTCAGCCGCCTTCTCCTTCCTCTGCTCCATTTGCTCCATATGCCTACGGCTGCTCTCGTCATGCTGTGGAAAAGCAAACAGAAAGCAAGGGGTCAGCTGGGAAACGAGGGGCCTTGCATGGTGTCTATTAGAGAGGCAAGGTGAGCCCTGTCTAAACTTACCTTCATTTGAATTTTCTTCTGCAGCTCTTCCATGGCTTCCTGTTGAGCTGCACTAAGAGCGGCCAGACGCTCCTCTCGGTCTCTTCAGACAAAATAGAAAACAGGTACATAAAGAAGTGAATATAGGGCTTGGCAATAAATTAGCATTTCTTTTAGCCAGGGTAGACTGTCCATTTTAAAAATATGGTTAGTGGTGTTGTTGAGAGACAGAGTTCGTGTAAGCCAACTTAGCAATGCGGCTGCTATATTTAGCAACTTTTACAACCCCACTCGTGACTGATGAGTTCATTCCAGAAAGAAAGAAAAAGACAAAATGAGCGCATACGCTTTCCCATTCAATTGCTTTCGATGACATATGCCTGTTGTACAACTTTACATGAGAAAAGATCATTAGAATGTTAGCAACAGCGAGATGTAGTTTTATATTTTATGGTGTTAAATTGTTGAACATTGAAAATTGGGTTTACATACAATATGTTTTGATAAAAGGTATATTCTAGTATTTTTATTAACATTTTCTGTGGAAGTTAATGCTGAGAAATGAATTTCATGGAGGAAAAAAATATGTCAACTTGTTTGCAATCAGAAGAAATCTAAAAATTCCCAGAAGGGGAAGAAACAATACTACAAACTTGTTTTGAGTAATGTCATTACTATTGCTATTTCTATAATGCCAACACTATACTGAAAAACTACGAACCTAGCTCTCTCCCGTGCCGCATCCTCTCTTGCTTTTTCTTTTTCCTGCCGCTGCTGTTCAATACGAGCCTCCTGCTCCTTGCGCCGCATCAACAGCTCCTCCACGCGTGCCTGCCGCTCAGCTTCGAGGGCTCGTTTACGTTCCTACCAAAGAAGAAAAAGCAGGATGTGAACAAGGATTAAAGACATGTAGACAAACTATGTGAATGTTTGTAGCCGCACCTGCACAGCTTCATCTCTGGCCTGCTTTTCCTCCTGCCTCCTCTGCCTATCCTCCTGGAGCTCATTAAGGCGTTGCTCATATTCATTTAATTTCGCCAGGGCATCGTGTCTCTTGTTCTGAGCTTCAAGAGTATTGATGAATGCTATTTCATTTACCTGAATGGACAATGAGTGGTCAAACATACAATTACCATTTCATAAGATACGGCCCCAAAGCAACATTTTTAAATATGGATTCAGTTATTGTTAACCTGCCCCACTTACCTTGGCCTCTTCCTCTTGAGCCTTCTTCACAATGGCCTGGAGTTGCAGCTCTCGTTTTAACTCTGCATGCAGCAGCTTTTCCTCCATCATCTTCCTCCTTTGTTCCAACAACTCTTCCTTCCATTTCCTCACCTCCTTTTCCTGTAGAAATCGAAAATGGAGAGCCACGCGTGGCAAAAATAACAGATATTTAGCTTCTCAATCACTGGAGATTAATCCCAAAATTCTATACACATTCAAGAATTGTACATCTGTCTTTAGACTCAATTGTATGAAGAGAAACTGTATAAAAAATAAAAAATAAGAGTTGACAAAATCGTAAAACCGCTTACACCGAGAACCTTTAGGAAGGATTTTCATTACTCAACAAGCATTCTCTCACCCTTTCCAAAAGCTTCTGCAGTTTGAGCGTCTTTTCCTCTCGCAATTTGTCCCGCAGCTGCTGAGCCTTCAGCTGTTTCTCTTCATGTTTCTTCTTTGACTCTGCAATAGTCCTGTCCGAAATATGATCATAAATCATTCATGTTTTAGTTAACATAGCTTGACAATGGCTTGAGAGTCAGTTAAGTCCTGTGGTATGTTGAGGGTCTTTGGGTGGTAGCCTAACAGTTACATAGTCAGACACAATAAATAGGCCTTTTGTCACTGTCTGCTGAGTTAAATCCGTTTTGTTTGCAATTAAGTTGATTAAAAAATAATAATAATAACTCACCTTTTGCGTGATGGCGAGGACAATTTTTCATGCATGTGGATCCCATGTCCAGGAGGTCGAGCCGGCTCTTCCTCCACCATGTCGCCCCATGAGGTATTCTGACGCCAGGCCTCCCTCGCTTCAAATGATGAGTAAAGAAAATATTTGTGGTGTAATACAGGGGTCCCCAACCGCCGGTCCGCGGACCGGTACCGGTCCGCCGGGCATTTGGTACCGGGCGGTGCGGAAAGAACTTCA